GGATAAAAACATTTCTACGAAATACTATGGTAGAATAATAATTAAATTAATTAACGATGCTCTTAATTGAAAAGAAAATGGTAAATTAAATAACAACTTTAATGAAGAAATCATCAAAGAATTCGCGAGGAAAAAAGACAAACGAATTGTCTTGCAATTTAAAAATATTACTAATCATTGATCACTAAATATTATTATTTATGTTTATGAAATATAAAATTTACTATACCTATAAAGTCTATTTTATAACCATAATTTTGTTCTTATTAAATATTTGTCATATCATATACTTATCATTGTATCGCATTAGTGTGTATTAAAAGTTTTTTTATATTATACAAGACTTGAGTTAAATTTAAAATTAACAAAAATAGAAGATTTAAGTTGTGATAACAGAGAAGGGGAAATATTTGTGCTCCACCTTCTATAAACCTCACGAGCTGCCACTGATTTAGATACAATAATATTTATAGTATGACGAATATAATGTGTACGGAATACTTTTCGATATAATGGATTCATGGTTAATAATTAATTAATTAATTATTAAAAATAACTTAGAACGCCATACTAAAACACAAGAATAATTGATTTTTGATTGCGATTTAAATGCTCTGCACCTTATTTTCTATAAATGAATCACAATTCATTATGCATACCTATTATATTATTATTAATTAAGCACATGGTCGTAGTTAATCATTCGAGTATTAAATGAAACAGATAAGCCCTCTGAATAATTATTCTCTATACTACCCTACATAATGTTTTTGTGTCATTGTATTTAAATTAGAACAAAAAAAATGATGGTATATGATTTGTATTTAAATTTATTTTTAAAATCAATAACATACTCATAATTTTCCAGATACTTGGATGCTCTAGGAGTTTATTTTAATTTGACATAGAAATAAATAAAAAGTTTGTTGGTTGTTCGATATCGATTGCGTTTGCCTATTTTGGTACGATTAGCAATAAGGTTCAATAATATTCCACGCCGGAATCTTTCCGGCACTCACTACGATAATAGACCTAGTCGCGCTTACAAGTGTTTTACGAAAATCAAGTTTTTGTTGAGCTGCCGTCGTGTATGTGATTTGTCGTCTGTTCTTTTGAATAATATGTCTTCGTGGACATCTCGATTTTTTTTTGTTTACGTTAATACGTGCCGAACATTCTGAAGTGCGTCGTACGTACGAGCCGTTTAGATGTGTCGCAGCTGTTTCAACGTAAGTCCTATTACACGGATGCAGTGGTTTGCTTAATTGCATATGCACCTGCAACGTGCTGTACGGATATTTTTATTGTGTTTTCTTTTGATATTAATAGTGCACGTGATTGTAGACAGTACACAATTTTGGTCGCAACCTGAGTCAGTGTTACAAATTGCGGGGCAAAATAATTTAAATAAAATAATATATAAAAACTAATATTTAATAATATTATATACTCTTTACTTTTTTTTTTTTTTTTTTTGTATAAATAAATGAAATAATGCAATAAAGTAATACATATTTTAGAAAAATTATAAGAGCGTAAGTAAGTGAGATACTAAGATCCCAAAATTGTATTATCGACATGATGGCATTCGACATAGTATACGTATTATACTCTTTTGTTAATCAATCTGCAATCGATACCACCAAAATGCCCATAATTATTTATGGTAAACGATACTATCAACCGTAATATTTTGAATGTTATATAATTTACTATATTTTAACATGTCATTATGTCAACAACCAGTATCAACATAAATATAATACATTAGGGTTGTTTTCTAGGATAAGGTCCACCACTAGCCAGCTGGAGAGCTAAAATAGTGGGAGGGGTCGACCAGCCTCGAGTTCATCCACTGAAGTAAACTAAAATCCAGTCAGTACCACGGGAGATTAGAGCCTCATTATACACTGGACCAGCTTACTGCTCCGGATATGGTGTCCCTCGAGGTTGAGAAGCCTACCTCGGCTGCAACGTGGTGGTTGTGGGACAAGCACAAAATAGTAGGTAAAAATACCGAACCTGGTGAGAGAAAGGGTCCCAAAGGCTCATGTCGTCCAAACTTAAATAGGTATAGGCCCTAAGCCGGTGCTGGTGGACCATAGATTACCCAGGAAGATAAGATGAATATCGAACTAACCCGTTCCTCCGTGGCTCGTGACTAGAGCACATTGCTTACATACGGTCTACGTGAAGGTAGACAAGATCTATAAACCTATGTAGACTTACGTGTTCTCTAGGATATTACTAAACTATTATTTAAACTGTAGTTTAAAAAAAATAATATTATTATTAATAATGTTATCTTTTCTAAAATACAATATTTAGTCGCTAATTATTTGTTTTTTTGGAGTGAGCTTCGCTTCTGTGGGCCCCATATACACATATGCAAGGGGCCCTATGCAAGTTCATTGGTTGCACTACACTTGCGCTGGCCCTGTTTAATATAAAACGTCGTAGTTTACTTTGTCGGGCAAGTGACTTAGTGAGTGCGCCGATCATCGTTTTATTGTTTTTTATCACTCTGTAGTACACAGATGCAAATTATTATGCACAGATTATTAATTAAGATTCATCAAATTGTCAACAGTCAACATTAAATATATTGCGAATTTTAAACCAAATAGTCGGTGGCACGATGATATAATTTTATATATCATTTATTTTGTATTATTTTTCTTTAATCGTCTGTTGTCATTGTGATTAAAAATAATAATATATATATTTTTTTTTTTTTGAATATTTACCGATACGGCGCACAGTTAATATATATTATCTATTAAATATATCTATTAACTGTGGATACGGTGTGCATTTTTTTACATTACATAGTTTTATTTTGTATTACAGGTGAACGCATATGTTATTTCCACATAATATAATACGAGTTCATGGTTGTATACTTGTATTATAATATTAATATTACAATAAAATGTCTGTATGTCGTGTGATATGTAATAATAATAAATAATAATATACATTCCTCTTATTTAATTATTCATTCCATAAACGATGTGTAATTTTTAAATTTTATTTTCAATTATTATTATTTTTGATTGACTTGGTTTATTATTTCACGACAAAACATAGGTAGTTGGTAATTTGTGAATATCTAATTATTAAAAATTCTAAAACATATTGTTCTCAATTTGGAAATTACAAATATTTTAGTTACTAAAAGTGAGTATAAATAGTATAGAATTAAATAAAAGTTGACAAAAATATTAATATGTAGAGTAAAAAGGGAGATTATTAATCTTATAGTTGGTCGTTGTTCATAATAATTATTATGCAACAGTTAATTTAAATTCAAAAAAATAATGTCAATATGATAAAATGTTTAAACGTACTCTACTTATTTAAATTCACAATTCATTAGTTTTATAAATAAATTATTGTTTAATAAAATTTCTCGTATAAATAAAATATTTTTACTCTTCTAATAGCAAAATTATAATTGAAAAAATAAAATATAAATTTAAGATGCATTGAATAATTTATAGTTTTGTATTTTTTTTTAAATATTATTGAGATAAATAATTTATACATACAAAATAACGTAATTTATTTGTGAATATTATATTTTATGTTATAGTAATGATGTAGATAAATATATTTGAATGTAATATTATTGTGTAACTTGATAAATCAACAAAAGTGTTATTTTTATGTTCAGTTATATTACAGATCAGACATGATTTACAATGGAAATTAAGCTTCATATTATTATTATTAATAAATATCCAGTTGTTTTTAAAATACCAACTAATATTATATGTATAGATTGAAAAACACTCTCAGTGTTACATAATGTTGTGATACAACGATAAAATATTATAATGAATCTTAGTTTCTAATTGTAATATAAGCCCATACTTGATTTTCATACAATTATAAAATTGAAAATATATAATTCAAAGCCCTTTGACGTAATAGAATATAACACTCATTGAGTTGTTAGATATAGAACATTAAATAATCTATTAAAATATTTTTTTAAATTCAGTATTTTTAATAATTTTTTGAGTGGAAATGTAGATCTTTAATAAACTTTCATGATTCAATACCTCAAAAATCCATCATATTGTAGAAAATTTCGGAGTTGTTATGTCCTCCATTAAATATAAATAAGTTCTAAGGTCTAAAAAATCAATGGATAAAATAATATTAAATATTATACCCACAATGCATTGGTTATTTTTTAGCAATGGATTTATATTATTCTAGAGTTATGGAAGCAATCCGAATATCATTGAAGGGTATTGAATTTATCGTGTTTGTATGTTAAACTGATTTTATTTATAATTTGAAATAAAACCGATGTTTTTAGTTAATATTTTACTACTGTATTTGTGTATTTGTATTTTGTGCTATTGTTCTATAAATGTATTATTGTTATCATAGTATAAAATAATAACTATAATATTTTTAAGATTATTTAAAGATATTAAATAAGCCATTGACAAATTTACCAATTTGTTTAAATCATGTTTATTGTAACAAATAAGTTATTGAAACAATATGTATTGCACGTGGTGAATTAATTATCTTTAGACTTTAGTGAACTTCTGTGAAAACAACTTAGCGGGTTATTGAAGCAATTTTAATTAATTCAGTTTTAATACACTAATAAAGTTTGTTGGACGACAATACGTAGTGAACCGAATACCGAAAGAAGTTATATTATGGGAATATACAGCTAACGTTGTAGTTAAGGCAATTTAAGAGTTCTTGAACTAGGAATTAGGATTAAAAGTAGATATATATATATATTAGAGCATCATTATTAAGTTGTTTTTTTATTAAACACAATGTATTATATTTAAGAAGACAAATTGCTTATATAAATCTTATGCAATTATTACAAAATTCGTATAAATTCAATGTATAATTACATTTTCAGCTTATAAATATTGATATTGGAAATATTTCTTCATAAATTATTAAATTAAAAAATACATAAATACTTATCAGAAAAGTAATTTTTTTAAAACACGTACCTTCCTGTTGAGCCCAGTAAGCCAATGAATCAACTCTAGACGTAAAACTGGAATAACAATTTTCGAATTTTCCACTTCCGTCTAAGCCAACTGTTTCGAAATTGGCTTTTACACCACATAATAATGCAGTAGCACATGCTGACGATTCGCCAATTTGAGCGTTTAAATTGTAGGTCTGAAAAAATAAATAAGATATTGTTTTTATTATGAGAGGTTAAAAAATCCTTATATACGTAATTTGGATGGTAAGGAGGGAAAGAGAGTTTCTCCGATGATATTTGTTGGAATTGAATGGGGGAATATATTGTTTTGTATACACAGTTTTAAAATTTAAATTTATAGTATATTATAAGTTACAAGACTTAAAAAAAAAAATACATATAATATACTTAAACTTTAATATTATTTTTCTATGGATATGTATTCTATGTGATTTATTAATTTATTAGTCTTTACAATCAAAAATATTTTTATTGTATAGATAGCTAGATAGATAAATACGCTTGAAGTTATGGCCATTATAATTTCATTCATAAAATACTACCCTCCCAGTTCATGAAGCTAACACTTTCTTCATTCAGGAACTTATTTTGTCAGCCAACATAACTTTGATCTTACTCTGTGGTAATTATAATCTGACAAATTTGAACTGATTAAAAATTATTTAAGTATCTAAACAATATTTTTTAGTACCTATTATATCTGCTATCAACATAGATACCTTTTCTTATCTTATTGATTTATTCCCAAGCCTTAGCTATTTTAAACTAAACCAGTGGCTTAAAGATCACTAAGATATTATATTCTTAACCTTATTTTTTCTGACTTAAATTATATTTCCATAACGACTGCATTATCTCCTCTATTCAACACTGATTTCTATCAAATTATACTGTCTATCAAATATCCACTCCAATATCTTTTCAAACACCAAAACATCTATACATTCAGTGACTTTAAATTCGATGATTTTCTTTTCATATACCAATTTTTAAGTTTCTCTGAATGGAAAAATACGTTGTATTGTGTAGTATTTATGACGCTACTGGAGTATTTAAGGATACTCTTTTTAATTCTATTAATAAATATTCTCTCCTATTACATTTCTTTGATAGGTTTTTACGACATTAAAAAAAATTAATAAATGAAATCTCTCTCTCGAAGTAAAAGAAAAAAAAGAAGAAAATACTGCAAATGTATAAATTAAAAAATATATTTTGGAACACATTGTAATTTTTTTACGTTAACACAGAAAAAACAATACACATAGTGTTGTTGTATCTTTTATTTATAGTATGTCACGAAGATATGAACATTTTACATTAAAATCGCATATAAATATGTCAGAAATTTGTGTAACACTTTGTTTATTAATAAACAGTAATATAATTTATTTTATTTTATAAAGCTAGACATTATTACGTAAAAAAATATATTATTACACAAATATTTTAAATTCCTATTTTATTTAAACAATTTAGCTGTCGCGTGTTACTGTAAATCATATTTCTATGCTTAGCAGCTTATTTTAATAATTGAATGTTTAATTTTTTTTTTATAAACTATTCAGCTAATCTAAATTCACTAAACGTTGCTACGTGCAGCAGTTTCATCGATTGTAGATTTATACATTATTCGTCATGTAAATAATAAAATAAATTATACAAGTTTTTAATAATATTTCAAAGACTAAAAAAAAAAAAAAAAAATAACAAAAAAAAAAAAAAAACAAAAACCAAGTCAAAGTGTTACTACTGGGTAACTCCGTAAATCAAATCATTCATGTCATTATAGTATTTAAGCAAACATGCTCATTGTAAAAAATAAATTTATAGATTGTGTGTATTCTAATAAAAAAAAAAAAAAATTATTTACAATACCAAAAGAATACTAAATATTTATCCTTTGACTTTTTATTTAGACTAAATGAATAAAAAATTTTTAAGTATATTTAATAACTAAAATTATAGATATACAGTTTGTAAAAATTTATTTTTTTAAATTTGCAGTGATATGTATAATATAATATGTATATATTATATAATATATATATATATTTTATAGTTCCTAAATAGGTCATTTTTAAAGCTAATAGCATATGAAAACTAGCTTAAGGTTATATACAGTAAATATATATGTATACTATATTTAATATACTGGCTTAAATTATTTCTTATTTAATCCAAAAAGGTTTAACGATTTCATCTCATTACATCATATTAATTCTATAGCAAATTAGTATTGACTCCACTATTGCCAATTACATTATCATTTATATTTAAATCGATTTTATGGACTAAATTTACCTGGAATTAGTGACTACCATACTATAAAATGATAGACAAATGATTACGACGTATTAATAATTAATCCTAGATTTTAATAGTAACTTGTTACTGATAATTTTAATATCTCACAATAAAATAGATATAATTTATAACCAAATATTAACAATATTAAAAGAAACTAATAAATAATATAATTAATCTCATAAAATAGAAAATAATATTTTCCAAGATAAACGCTTGATTTAATAGTATAGTTAACTCGCATGCTTTTTTTTTATTATTATAAAATTTAAGAACTAGTTTTTTTATTTCTAAAGAAATTAATTTAAGTTACTTTAGTGCTTATATCTGAAGGTGATTGAATAAAATTAGTTGTATCTACCATATTAAAATTTAAATATTGTCAATGACCAATATTTTAAATAATAACATTTTATGGATGAAACTAATTTAATTGACTGTCATATTTTTATATGAAATTGATTTATTTCTATAACAAAACAAGGTCATTTATACTTACTTATATTGTCAAAATACTTATATTTTAACAACTAATGCAACTTATTTAATAAATGTATTAAGTTGATGGTTTACTGATCAATTTTTAATATTAATACTATACATAATAAAGAAATATGTTTTTTTTAATTTAAAAAATGTAAAACCTTTAAAAATATTGTGAAATAATTGCAATTTTTTTATCAATTGTAATTTATATATAAATACAAATTTAATACTAAATTAAGTTTCATTTTTATAATATTATTGGTTTGTAATGTCATAATTCTTTACAAATTTAAAAACCACTTTATTTAAAGTCCTAATAATATTAATAAATGGTTTTATAGTCAAATTAATTTTAAAACCTCATTTAATTAATGATTAAATTAATTTAAATTTTGAATTGGTTCGTTTTATTTATAAATTATATTTAAATATAATTATAGTTAGGAAGTGCCTATTTAATATTTATAGTGGATTTACAAAGTAGTTTTATGAAAATAAACAGCTTTATTATATAAAATAGAATAGTTTGCTTCGACATAAATTTAAATTAAATAGAATCCAAACCAGCATATCATATGAGGTTATAATGAATAATGTATCGATTTAGCTAATTTAGACATTTATATAGTTTGTTTTAAAATTATTTTATCATTAATCACGAAACAGTGCAGTCGTAGTAACTTACATATATGTTAAACTTGTTAAATCTTAACTATTTGTCAGCAAACAATTTTCATATAAGGAGTTTAATATTATATTATTGTTAAGACCATTTGCTAGTTAAATCTTAGTGAACTAATAAATCCCTGAGTACTAAGTTAATTTAAACAAAAATGAATTATAATTTTATTTAGCTAGGATAAATTAATGATAATATGTTATCGGAAAGTGCATTAATCTAAATTTTAAGTTCAAACTTAACCTTAGTTCCTATTATTACATTTATGATGATTTATTATATCTATATTGTTTTTATTCAAATAACTGAAAAATAATATTCGTTATTATTAGTGTTCTTAGAATAAAAAAATTCCTTACATTTTTAATATTAGTAGTTATTATCTTAAATTTGAAACCAATTAAAAATAAATGTCTTGTTTCAGGTTTTAAGTGGAATTTGAAAAAAGTACCAGTTTATGATTTTTAAAAATTGTTGATGTGTTCTTTACTTGTAGAAAAGCTGCTGAGGAAATCGAAAAAATTTGAGACCTTACAATATGTACCATTAGATACGATTAAAAAAAAAAAAAAATTATCATAAATTACAATATTATTAGAACACTCATCTACCAAAAAAAAAAACAATAGGTACTTATAGAAAAAGATGGGAAATAATAAATAAGGAAATATTTTTGCTTTCGCTCCATTAAATTACTTACAAATAGTTAGAAAAGTTCGAGTAATTAGTTTTTAATATTAAAAAATAAGAATATCAATTAACTACATATCAAATAATTATTAAATTTTAAAAATATATTTTTTTTATAAAAACATAAATAAATAAATAAAATTAATTGGAACATTGAAAAAATTGTAATACCTATAATACAAAACAATTTTGTATGTTTAATACTAATAATATGTCATACTAACTAATATTATAGATGAAACATTGTTAAAGAACTTGTTCATAATTTATTATAATTTACAAATTATAAATCCAATATATTATTTAAATCTATTAAAACAGGTAGTATTTTTATTACCGATATACTTATTGCTATTTCATCCTTAGTATACAAAAATTTGATAAAAACTTCTCCTTCAAATTTTGATTAAGATCCATCATAATTTTCAAAAAATAATTATTTGTTTAAATAAGGTGTTATATTTCAAAATATAAAGAAATATGTGCATATCACTAAATTCAAATAAAAAATCCAAATGTTTGAAATTGTGATATTTAGTAATACGGTTTCGGATTCTAGCTGTTTTTTTTATCAAACATCAATCACTGATTGATATCTGTATTTTTCTAAAACAGCTATTCGTCGTCCACAAATACTGACTTGGCACCACATTTATCTACCTTAAAGAGAGTAGGTGAAAGAAGAGTTATTGCGATACAGTATCCGCTGGGCGCGGTATTCACGTACCGGATGAGCCGTGAGTTGGTTGTTTCTGTCATTTGATTCACTGAATAATAATTAAAATGTGACTTATTATTCAGGATATGACTCAAAATTTTCATACTATGTATAAATATAATTAATTTTACTTTTTCTGGTTTAATGTATTAGTATGTCTATGTTTTACGCTATATGCCTAATCATTAGACAGAGCGACTTTGTATTATATTTATTTATTTATTTATTTATTATTATTTCATCACCTCTATCCACTCTACTTTAGATATAGCCATGCAAGGAAAATTACGTTG